GCCAGTGTTAAAAGTGGAGGCCGCCGTCCGCTTAACTGATGCAGCAGCAATAGTCGATGTAGCAGTAGATGCTCCTGCTGAACTCGGTGGCCGGCGATGAGCACCGCTGCTGTTCAGTCGATTGGACAGGGTGCGATTCAATTTGTTCTTCTTCAGTCGGCGGTGTTGACTTCTCATCCAGATGTCCAGGTACGATTCGTTCATCTCATCAACAGCACCACCATCATCAGCAGTTCGCCGTCGATGATCAGCTGGTGATGAGGTAAACTCAGGGGCAAACTCCGCAGCAGCTTCAGTGCTGGGCGTAGTGGGCGTGGCGAGTTCGGTTATGGTCGGCATGCGGTCGGAGCAGGCGCCGCCGATGGCTGCCGCCTCTTTGGAGGTCAGCTGCAGTCCTTTGGAGGAGGTGAAGGCGTCGGCGCTTCTAAAGAGACGGTCCACCGAGGTGCTCATTACGTTATCACAGTTGGCTATTGCAGTTGTCAGCTCCAGTTGGAGGCTGTTGTTGGTAGTGTTCTCCTTGTCCTCTCCCTCTTCATCACCTTCTTCATCATCATCATCCTTTCTGTTGAGGTGAAAGCCGGTGGAGGCGAGCGTGGACCGGCTAAACTGGGCTATATCACAGACCGACATGGCCATCATGTCGCGGGTGCTGGCCGACTTCATCAGACTGGCCGACAGTGACTTGGACATCAGATCGGCGGCTTTGATGCGCGTGAAGGGCACCTGCGTGTGCGGAAAGACGTTGGGCTTGATCGGCGCGGCGAGGATCATCTCCGACCAGGAGGCGACCAGCAGTGGCTTATCGTGCTTCTCAATGGCCAGATTGATCATCGGCGGCGGCTCATTGCCTCGATTGGCTCCCTCACCACCGCCGATATTCTTCCTCACCGATCGGTCGGCCTGGTAGGCCGCCAGCAGGGCGGCGGGCACTGACTGGAGGAAGGAATGCAAATTAAAGGTGCTCTCCACGCCGTTCATCACGTCGGGATCGATGATGGTGTTAGTGGTAGTGCACTGGTTGCTGCCCCCGTCAGCAGCCACCATCTTCGCCGCCACCGTCTCCAGGCACACTTCGTACATTAATCCTTTGAATATTAAGTTCATCAGGCGGTCGTTCCGTGCGATGCAGTTGTTGTTGTTGTTATTTCCTGACTTGTTGGTGCTGCTGCTGTTGCTGGCGGTGTCACTCGCTGTAGTCGGTTGTTGCGTCATGAACCGCTCCACCAGCGGCATCACATCGTGGAAGCACTTCAGCCGCCAGCTGTTTGGATTCCAGTTTCGCAGCTCCTCGTCGTCGCTCAGGCTGGGAATGGTGAGCAGCGAGCTGAGGCGGTGGTAGTCCTCCCGACTGGGCGCGTACGCTTCCAGCTGATTGAGGCAGTCGATGATNCTCCAGCTGATTCAGGCAGTCGATGATGTCCTGGACGGCCACCTCCACGGAGGCCAAGGTGGACGAGGTGGTCGCCGAGGTGGGCGCACATGAGGCCTCGGCGCGAATGCACAGCAGCTCCACGTACTTGTGCTTGTAGATGAGGAAGTGAAACTGCCGGCTGGCAAAGTGCTCCAGCGATTCGAGCGGGGTGACGAACTGCAGGGCGTCCTCCCACTGGCCGTCGAGAATCAGCTGCCGGAGGAAGATGAGATCGTCGCCGACGTTGCAGTTGTAGATGCCCGATTCGCGCTCCAAACTGAGCTGGGNCCGATTCGCGCTCCAGACTGAGCTGGGAGATGCACAGCTCCCGGCGAGAGAGGAACTCGAGGATCAGCCGAATGGCGTCCTCCTCGCGGACCGACACCTTCGAGAAGGTGGCGGTGGTGGTGGTGGCGGTGGTGGTCATCGATGTTGGTGGTGGTGGTTAAGGTGCTTTGAAGTGCCGGTGAGCGCACCGCCGCTGTCGGCAAAGACAGCGCTGACAACAAAGACGGCGGCGTCGGTGGCGAGTAAGAAGAACGAGGAACGAGGAAAGGATGCGAGCTGAGCTCACATGCTGCTCACACTGCTGTTGACAGCTGCTCAGCTGATGACAACAGTGGCAGCAGTAAGACAGTAAGTAACTGGCGAGCAGGGGAGGCAGCAATCAGATGAGATTGGGTAAGCCACTGGGGGACCAGGTGACAGCATTAGTAGTTCACCATCGAGCCCGCCAGACTCTGCGCCAGACACCATAAGCGATATTGACACTGAAAAAGCAGTAGCAGAACAGCAGCAGCAAAGGAAGTACCTTTCTAGTAGGACGTAAGAGAGAAAGGGAAGGAGAGAGAGAGAGAATCCAAACAGAGGAGGGAAAGTGACGCCAGAGAGTGGCGGCGAGCCAGCGCAGGCGGCGAACCAGCACTATTCCAGCCAGACAGCCAGACAATGCCTGCCACTCTTCTACTGCAGCCTCTCTCATTGCCCAACCACTCTACCCGGCCAGGCTCGATTCAGTCGATTCGCCGGTCAGTGGCCTTCACAGTAGTGGTGGTGGTAGCAAACCGAGCAAGCCAAGCAAACCGACCGGCAAAGTAGTGGTGGTTACCCCCAGTGCATCACATCAGATTGCCCTCACTTCTTTACCGATACGCTGTTGCCCTCTCCCCTCCTTGAGACATCTTGTCAGATGATGATGGTGATGGTGGTGGTGATCAGGGCTCATTATTATGCTCTTTATTAGCAGGAGAGGAGAGGAGAAAGAGGAGACTAAATTACAATCGGTTCTGCAAACAAAAGAGAGAAAGATGAGAAGATGAGCACTTCGATAAAATAATAATTTAATCATCATTTCGGTNGGAGAAGAGAGCAGCGTCAGAGGAGAAAGAGAGCGAACGAAAAAGAAGATACAATACTGTGAACATAAAAGAAAAAAAGGAGCGCGCGCAAATGCCAGAAAGGTAGCTGAGAATTTACAAAGCAAGCGGAAGAATTAGAAAAATAAATATTAAAAGAGCTATGTTAGCAGTAGATAGAAAGTATAGAAAAGAGGGGTGTGTCGTTTATGTGAGTTTGTGTGTGGAATGCCAGAATGTTGACATTGGTGGTGGTGGTGGTGGTAGGAGGAAGATGACAAGTAGAAGGAGAGAGGATGAAGGGCGGGCAGTCAGCAGAGAGGCCGGCAAAGCTGCTCTCCAAGAACTCGTGTGGTCACTAAAAACGCGTCGGTATAAAAACAGGTAAATAAGAATGATGTTCGCATGGTTGGGGCTTGCTTGAGGGGAGGAGTAAGAATTTGAGATGTACGTTCGTTGGTGGTAGTGATTGGTAGAGGTGTTAGAGTGGCTCTCGAAAAATCTGCGAAAGAAAGGAAAGGAAGGTATGTGGTGGTGGTGTGGGGTGTCTGTGACCGAGAAGGAAAGCTTCGGTGTTCGCGCGCGCGTATGTGGTAACAAAAAAACAGTTCGATGGTGGCGGAGTTTGAGAATTTGTTGACAGCTGATGATATAAGAGCGAGTGGGGGTAGCAGTAGCAGGGGATGTGTCTCCGATTGACTTGATTTGCCGCGCGTACCACCACCTTACTCGGCAGTCACCTCGGGCTTGGCCGCAGCAGCGTCGGCAGAGCCATTCGGAGCCGTCTCCTGCTTCTCCGCCGCCTCTTTGGTAGCCTCGGCAGCGGGTGCCGCCGCCCCATCAGCGGCAGGCGTTTCCGCAGCAGCAGCCTCGGCCTTGGCGGCCTCAGCCTGCTTGGCAGCTTCCGCCTCGGCGGCAGCCTTCTCCTTGGCGGCCTTCTCCGCCTCCTCCTTTTCCTTCTTCTTGCGCTCCTTCTCTTCCTTCTCCTTCTTTTTCTTTTCCTCGCGCTCCTTCTTCTTTTCCTCCTGTAGTAGTGGTGGTAAAGAGAGAAGACAAATAAGGTGATTAGGATCGGTGATGACTGATAAAACCTTTGCTGCTGCTGCTCTTTTAGAACTTACCGCTAGGCGCTTCTTCTCGGCAGCCTTGGCCTCCTTCGCCTTCTTGGCCTCCTCCTCCTTTGCCTTCTTGGCCTCGTCCTCAGCCTTGGGCTCGCTCGACTCCGCGGGCACTTCCTTCTTGGGAAGATGAGTATTCATTTCCAGGGTCGAAAGGATCTCGTCCCAGTCCGACCAGTACTTGGTCTTGACGCGCTCGGCGTGGGCGAGCAGGTTGGCACACTCCTCCTGCATCCATTCCTTGAGCCCGCCGAAGGGAACGTAGATGAACTGGGCCAAGTGTGAGAAGACCGACAAGTCAAGCTGCGTAAAGAGGGGAGAGAAAATGTCAGCAAGTGTGCCATCGGACCAAAAGCTAGCCAATCAACTTACATAGCGCGGCTCCTTGCCGAAAAAGTAATCCTTGGTGCCCAAGAAGTCGCTCAAGACCTTCAAGTCGTTCTTGGCAGACTCGACGACCTCCTCAAGGGAGAAGCGGCCAACGCCGTATCCGACGGCATCCTTCAGGTGCTACAGGCGATAAGGAATGAAGAGGGGTTAGAGAAGAGGTGACCAACTGGCCGGCAGTAAGAGCGTCCTACCTTTCTGAAGCCAATCTTGAAGACAAAGTTCAAGATGGAGTTGGGCAGACGCGAGTTGAAGGTTCGCTTGATGTCCAGCTGCGCGACGTCGAGAAACTCCTGCGGATGATTGTATCGCCACCAGCGAACGATCCTAATTGGAAAAGAATTGAGGAAAAGTTGTGATTAGCTATATAGCAGATCAGAGACAGACAGGCGGCAGACAGGGGAGAGTGCGCGCAGAGTGGAGTCGTTGCACGTTGCAGTATGTCTGCCTGGCTCAGTGTGGAATAGTCAGTGCTCCCACACCAGTGCAGCAAGTCAGCAGCAGCCAGACACCCTGACTGGATTTGAATTTCAAGGCGCACATTGCGCCTCGATCCTAAGGGAGTGGCCGCGATCAATACGTCTGTCGCATGCTCCCGTACTGCACTGCAGCAGTTGCAGTGGCAGTGTGTGCAGGCAACGCTAGCTAGCAAGCACTGCGGCGCGGGCACTCTGTGTCCGTTCAAATTAGCCCCCGCCTACGCGCAACACGATGGCGGTTTATTGCCATTTAAAATGCTGCAGCGAAACACTATCCGGACGGCTAACTGGCTCCTGGATTCTCTCTTTCTCCCTGTTCGGGAGGGCAAGAGAAACTAATCATAATGAATAAAAAGCCCTAATCCTGGTGGTGGCGGTGGTCTAATTGACACTGCGTCAGCAGCAGCAGCAGCAGTTTACACAGTGTGCAGCAGACTGCAGAGAGTGGCAGTAGTGGCTGAAATAGCTGCGGCTGCAGATGGCGCGAACACAATGGGGCAGCGAAAGGGACAGCAGCACTAGCACTAGGCAACGGCAGTAGCATATTGGTGGTGGTGGGCAGGCGGACACAATGGATGGGGACGGTAATCGCGCGGTACACTACTACTACTTACCAGCCGGTGTGGTTGTTCAGCATCGAGCAGAAAACGTGAGTCATTATCTTCTGGTCCGGGGTGAGACCATCGTCGATGTCCTTCTCGAAGTATAGTGACAACTCGCGGATGATGGTATCGGACTCTTCGATCTCCTTGCCGTTCAGTTCAATGAAGGGCAGCTGGCCCCTCTTCGACTTGTATCGGAGCTTGTGGTCGATATTCTATTAGCGTCCATGTGAGCGAGCATGTTTGGAGAGAGAGATAAAGGGTGCAAAAGAGGACAGATTTAGAAACGGTCGAGCAAGTGGGTTAAAGAGCGGGTTAACAAGCGCCCAGTGGTGCGCAGCGAGGCCGGGCACCACGGCGGCGTCGGCTGCGACGAGGACGACGACAACGACACCAAGACAAAGATGACTCACCTCGTATTGGATGCCACTCATGCGGAGCCAGGTCTCCACCATGAGACAGCACGCCGACAGGGAAGGAGTGGTCGGGGAGCGAACGAACTGGTACAAGTAGACGACGTCCTTCTCGAAGTCCTTCTTGTGCGCGGTGACGACGTTCTTCAGCGTGCCGGTCTTCTTGGTCGGCGAGCCGGGCGCAGAGGCGTTCTCCGCCGGCTTCTCGCCGTCCTTGGCGGCGTCACCGCCGGCATCGTTGGCTACCGGCAGATTCTCCTCCTTGGCGGCGGCGGCCGGAGTCTGGGTCTCCACCTTGGTTTCCGTCTCAGTAGTCGATGTCATTGTTGATGATGGTTATGGTCGATGGTTACGGTGTATTTGCAGTGTTTGGTGAGGGAGAGGGTTGTTGTCTGTAGACACAAGAGAGAGAAGGGAGAAGAGAGAGAACTGAAGATTAGAAACAACAAAAAGCAGTTGGTTGATGTTTGCGGCAGCTGCTAAGTTTGAGCAAAACACGCACACAGAACAGAACAAAACACACACACAAGGGATGACGATGAAGAAGAGCGTCGACGACGGTGGTGGTGGTAGTTGTCGGGCTTGAAGAACTCGAAAGTGGCCGCGCCGATTGCGAGAGATGGACGACCAGTTCGCGGTTAACGGCGAGAGCGGTTGATGTGGCAAAATCGCGCGACGATCTGAACAACTGCCTGCTGCAGAGACTGACAAAAGACTGAGGCAGAGAGCAATGGCAGAGGCGCACGGCAGAGCTTTTCCAAGTGCTACAGTGCTGCCCCCACAGAGGCAATGAACGAGAGAGAAGGAGAGAGAGAGAGAGAGAAAGCCTCCGAGGTACTGCAGCAGCGTGGAGGGAGGTGCGCTGCGGCAGTTTTCTACGCTAACAACTGCTAGCAGTCGCACGACCACCGCGGGGCAGCCGCGGGTAGTGGTCAAAATGGCGGCAGTGGGCGGGGCTTTGCACCTTCGGCAAGCGAAGCAGAAGCAGCAGCAGCTTTCTGGCTGCAGCANCGCGGGGCAGCCGCGGGTAGTGGTCAAAATGGCGGCAGTGGGCGGGGCTTTGCACCTTCGGCAAGCGAAGCAGAAGCAGCAGCAGCTTTCTGGCTGCAGCAACACACACACACTTACTTACCTAAATCGAAATCGAGTGGTGCGGACACCGGGTTTGCAGCAGCAGCAACCGAAGCAGAAGCAGCAGGCGCCTGGAGCACAAGGCGCGGCCGGGTAGTGGCGGGTAGACACGGGAGAACTACTGCTGATGGTGGTGGTGGTGGCGGTGGACACGCTGGCGACCAGACACGAGGCCGACGTCGGTGGTGGTGATCGTGGTCGAGGACCGACTTGCTGCAGCGGACAGTGAAACAAACACACACAGGGACAGACAGACAAGTGGTGGTGGAGGCGAATGAGAAGGGAACTTGAAGTTGGAAGAGGAGACAGAACACTGTGAGGGAACTCGCTGTTCGAAAATCACTCTTGCTGGCGAGGTGGTCGTGGTCGTGGCGGCCGCGGCGAGTGTCTGACTGACTGACGAGCACTGGCAGGGAATGCTCTGCTCTTATGAAGAGCGGCGGTGGCTCGAGGACTGGTCGCGGACTGCCTCACTCACTCACTCAGTCTCTAGCGACGGTGGCGCGGCGGCCGTTGCTACGAAGAGTTGACCAGTGTGAGTGAGAGAAAGAGAGTGATAGAGTGAGTGTATGTGATGCACAGCACCACCGCCGCCGATGAAGTGCCGGCACAGCAACACACTTGAACTCGCCGATGCTGATACCGATGAGCATGCCAATCAGTGGTGGTGGTGGTGGTGGTCGTCGCTGATACCAGCACTGACACCACACCACCGAGAACCAGCTAGAAGAAAGATTGACTCACTAGGGGCAAGAGAGAGGGGCGAGAGTTCAAGTGCTGCCAGAGATTGCCAGTGCCTTCTCAACTGTGTTCGGTGCGCTGAAGCGGCAGCACTGCGTCAGCGAAAGTCGTTCGCGCCCAAGTTTCTCTGTCTCTTTGTGAGCGAGCGAGTTCCTCGAGTGTCTGTCGCGCCGGGCGACCAATGCGACAGCGATCCACCATTGGGCAAATTAGGTTGCAGACTGAGGCGCGGAGGCGGTGGCCACTGCTGTCATCATCGTCAGTGGCCATTGTCGCAGCACATGTCTGAGGACATCGGTCGGCGGCGAAGGAAAGTTGCATTGCGCTCATGACGAGACGATGCGCACGAGCTGCAGCTATTGCTGATGCTGCACTTGATGATTCACGAGTTGATGGCAGTGAGGGGGGCAATCTTCAGCTCTCCACTTTCGCGCTTGTACGAAAGAAGTTGCTCGCTGTTGGCAAGAGATGACTGTTAGGAAGTTCAGCAGCAGCAGCAGCTAACGGAACGTGTGTGTTGGGCAATGACTAGACACTGAAGGAATGCTGGGGAAGGGTGAGGTGTACTGCAAATGTAGGGACATTTTCTGGGG